GGAGGAAGAGAGGACATACCTGGTGCGGATGTTGATGGATCTGAGGATGCGGCTTCAGGCAATGTGAGAGATGGAGGCACCTGAGTCACTTGCTAGACTTCTGGAATTGGGCTAAAAAATTCTGCAGCAGGATGAGGCCGTGGGTTGCTGGCAGGAAGCATAGAAAGTTGATGATCACCTGAGTTGGAGGAAAGAGGAAATGTGTGTTCATCAAACACTACATGACGAGATAGATAGAGATGATGGGTCTTTAGATCAAGACATTTGTAAGCATTTTGAGTGAGTGAGTAACTAAGAAAGACACGTGGAGTGAATTTTGGGTCAAGTTTGCTGCTGGTATATGGTTTGAGCCATGGATAGCAGAGACAACCAAAGGTGCGAAGCTTAAGATAATTTGGGGGACGAAGATTGAGGGATTCAAAAAGAGTTGTGCCATGCAAGAGAGGAGTAGGCATGCAGTTGATGAGGTAAAATGTTGTTTCAAAAGCAAAGGACTAGTAGGATAAGGGAAGTTTAGAGTGATGGAGAAGAGTAAGGCCAATTTTGACTAGATCCCGATGGCGACGTTCAGAGACTCCATTGTGTTGGGGCGTGTGAGGAGGGGTTGTAAGGCTGGTGATACCGTCTTTAGCGAGGAAGGGTCGAAGTTTGAGGTACTTGATGGGTCAAGCTCAAATGACCCAATCCATGGAAAAAAGCCCAAGCTTATAGAAGATCAAGCAAGCCCTATGAGGTCCAAGACGGTCAAGCCCATCAGGGAGTTACGGGAGCATCCAGGAGCTATACCCTAGCTCGTTGAGGAAGAGGAGAGGTCGCCAAGAAGAGGAGATATCATCAGCTATTAAGTTGTCTCTAATCCATTATAACCGTCAAACTACTCAATTACTACGCAGGCTTCTATAAATTGTAAGCTCTCCCAACACTTGGGGGGCATATCAAAAAATCAAGTTCATCTCTTCTCTCTTGTAATTCTCTGTTCTCCCAACACACTAGAGCTAATAAACTTCCCGGTGAACTTAGCCATTGAAAGTGGACGTAGGCCTGGTTGACCGAATCACTATAAACCTTATTTCTTCTCTTCATCTACTTATTTTATTGCATTTTATTCTATTTACCTGATTAGTGGTGTGTAAACCAATTTGTGCATCATCAATACTCACCACCATTGTCTGTGTAGAGGTGCTTATACAGACATCTCTTTAATAAATAAGTCTATTTTATATTTTTTCATAATTAGAGTTTCATTTACTATCTCATTTAGTGCAGTTACAAAAATAATTTTTTAATATGAATTTATCTAGCGAGGTACATTTTTTCAATATAGATTTCACAAAAAACACTTTTTTCAATGAGTTTTATTCATTATTTTTGATGTGTTTTTGTATCTTTGATAAATTTAATAATTTTTTTATTTGAGATTTATATGTGTGTACATATATGTTTTCATTTAGATTATTGATTTCTGCAACAAAGTCTCTTCCATTATTGATTGTCGCTAGTATGGCAGTAGCTTTAGGTGTGTTATTTCATTTGTTTTATTTGTGCGGTATCTAGTAGGCTATTTTTTTTTCCTTATTTAGTTTTTTTTACTGTTTTGTTTGTGCAGTAGCTATTAGGTTATTTTGTCTTTTCTTGTATCATTGTTGCCTTTTTTTTACTTTTTCGTTTGTGCAGTAGCTATTTTGTTGTTGCTTGTTTCTTCTTTTCTTCTTCTTTTTTTTTTTTTTTGGTTTCGGGTTATTTCACTAAAAAATTTTATATTGAATTTTTTTTTTATGGGTGTATAAGATGACATAACGATCGAAACTTTAATTATAAGAAAATATAAAATGAACTTACTTATTAAAGGGGTATATATAGTATATATTGAGGTGAATATAAAAAAGGTGAATTTAGTAGTTTGATAAGAAAAAATTAAATGAAGTGAAACCGAATATTCGTGGGAGTGGAAATTGTCCCACCCACTGATAAATTCACCTTAAATGGTGGTAACTTTACCTCATATGATGATAACTTCACCTCAAATGGTGATGACTTGGCCTTAAATGATGATAGTCTCACTAGAAATAGTGGTAACTTGACCTCAAATGCAGATGATTTCACTCGAAATTGTGACAATTTGACATCAAATAATGGAATTTGACCTTAAATAGTAATAACTTTTTAAAACACGTGTCTATTTCTCAATCCCCTAACACAGTGAATCCGATTGCCTAGTCATAATTATTGTTAAAATAAAAATGTCTATTTCTCAAGCCCCCAACATTTTGAAACATTTTTTTTGTTTTTGTTTTTGGTTTTATGGTCAAGGGTATCTGTATTAGTCTACGTGCATCTTGACTAATTTTTTTTCCAGTCTGGTCAAAAGTACCATCTACACAGGGATTAAGGAATTGATGAGAGACAAATCCATATTGATCTGGCGCCAAGGGAATTACTAAGTTTCAAACTCAAGATATTAGAGTTTGCAACTAATCCTTATTTCCAATGAGCAATGCTATTGTAATATAATTTAGGGACATAATCAGTTGTCGCCAATGAAATAATAGTAGAATGCATTTAATGTTGCAATGAGACTCATCATTAAATGCATTTCACTATCATTTTATTTGTGACAACTCATTATGTCCTCAAATTGAGTAATGTTNGTTTTATGGTCAAGGGTATCTGTATTAATCTACGTGCATCTTGACTAATTCTTTTTTCAGTCTAGTCAAAAGTACCATCTACACAGGGATTAAGGAATTGATGAGAGACAAATCCATATTGACCTGGCGCCAAGGGAATTACTAAGTTTCAAACTCAAGATATTAGAGTTTACAACTAATCCTTATTTCCAATGAGCAATGTTATTGTGATATAATTTAGGGACATAATGAGTTGTCGCCAATGAAATAATAGTAGAATTCATTTAATGTTGCAATGAGACTCATCATTAAATACATTTCACTATCATTTTATTTGTGACAACTCATTATGTCCTCAAATTGAGTAATGTTACATGGACTTAAAAATTAGACTTGATAACTACAAACATTGATTTTACAGTGAGTCCTAGCATTTATTGGGGTCCACTACTTATTCAATGGTTGAAATTATCAAGTTTAATTTTTAAATCTATTTTTTAAGTCCATCTAGTATTACTCCCTCAAATTATGTCTCTCAATTATGTCACAATAGTATTAGTTATCTCCAATGAGCTACCCCTTCGGGTTGAATGACATTGATATTTGTCATTTTGATACCGCATTGTTGTTCTTATGTTTAAGNCTACAAACATTGATTTTACAGTGAGTCCTAGCATTTATTGGGGTCCACTACCTATTCAATGGTTGAGATTATCAATTTTAATTTTTAAATCTATTTTTTAAGTCCATCTAGTATTACTCCCTCAAATTATGTCTCTCAATTATGTCACAATAGTATTAGTTATCTCCAATGAGCTACCCCTTCGGGTTGAATGACATTGATATTTGTCATTTTGATACCGCATTGTTGTTCTTATGTTTAAGTACATATTAGTACTCTCTATTTTGAGAGAGCATCTTTTTTGAAATAGAAAGCATCTTTGATAAAATTTTGGAATAAATATTTTAGGCAATTCTGATAAGCTTTTTATTATAGTAGAAAAATAGTTTTATAGTTAATAACATTGAATAAAGAATGTACATGGGTCATATTTCATTCAATAAAAATAAAGTAGAGAGAGCGAGTTAGACTTTCTAAATATAGAGAGTCAAACAAAGTTTTCTATTTTAACTAGTCTAAATAAAAAATCTATTAGAGCTTGATTTTTGATAATCGACTGTCTAAAATAGGGAATTGCGTGAGAGTAAAAAAACCTATTAGAGATGCCCTTAAAGATTCCTGATAGGCCTTGCAAAACTAAACAAGATCTCTCAACCTCTCATTTTTTCTGGAGTCTCTCTTCTATCAATCTCAGCCCCTCTTCTCTCATTCTCACTTTGGATTTTCTGCTCTGTTGTTGCTTTTGGGTTTGTTTGAGCAACTAGGTTTTGATAGTTGACTGATTTTTGGCAGTTTGGATTTTGGTTCTAGGCGTTTTTAGTCATTTTTTCTGTTTTTCACACACGTACAAATACATATATCTGTTGTAACAACATATGACAATAATGTTGTGCAACTCATTTAAATAAATTGAATCGTGCTCAATTTTGAAATTTAATTCCGTTTAAAAAGAATCGTGTATGAGTTGAGCGATTTTTAATATAAACTTGCTATGATACGACACAAACCCACTTAGCCCAACAAGTTTCTCAAGCCTAATTGCTAGTTACGGTTGTTTGGCAAGATATACACGCTTTAACCAATTCTTTTAGTATATTTTTCATTGAAATTAATTACCATTGGCTACAACAAATATCTAATTAATCAACGGCCAAGATTTTCAGCTTATAGCACCACAAATTTATGAACAAGTGTTCAAATCTCTATGACAAATTTATTTCTCATGAATACTTTAACCCGACGTAGATAACCTGCCTTTGACTAGACATCCCTAACCCACAAAAAAGGAAAAAAAAAATTNCAATTAATTACCATTGGCTACAACAAATATCTAATTCATCAACGGCCAAGATTTTCAGCTTATAGCACCACGAATTTATGAACAAGTGTTCAAATCTCTATGACAAATTTATTTCTCATGAATACTTTAACCCGACGTAGATAACCTGCCTCTGACTAGACATCCCTAACCCACAAAAAAGGGAAAAAAAAATTCTTTCTTCATTTTGCCCCATCAAATTTGTCTACTGACGTATACTGAGATGTATGTATAGAGACCATCACCTATCGGATTGTGAGAAACTATCACACGTTTATGTGGAGCAATCTCACTTAAAACTAGTATATGAGTCCGATAAGTATTTCTTAGTCTGAGCAGCTAGGTCCTTTGGAAGGATAGTATTATCTTTGGATTTCAGTCAAAGAGAGAGAAAGCAATGGATATCTTCCATGCCAGCACCTACCTTCTTAAACTTTGGATGGTCTCACATGATTTCAACAAGACCATATTTGGAATTTTGAATTAGAGCAAACATCTATGAAACAAAAAACGAAACAGTATAAGATCAAACAAACAAGATTTAGATAATAATGTGAAATCCAAAATTCATTCAAGAAAATGTGAAGATTAACTTTCTCATACCTAACACATCAAGCACATATTAGATTTGAAAATGAAAAAATAAAGCTTTAGATTCAAATCAAGACCCAATTCATCGCCATCGTTGTCCTTGTTAGTTGCCTCAGTAAGAGTTGTGAGGGATGAATCTCCAACGTTACTATCTGCATCACACAGAAAAAGAACAATTATAACAAACAACAGAAAGGGCTTTGCAACAGTCTCCTCACTCGAGTTGTAACTAATGATTAAAATTTCGTTTTGAAACAGAAACAAAACCGAGAATAAATGTCAAAGTTACTATGTTTTGAAGAGTTTCTAAATGTTTCGAGGTGTTAGGAGATGTTTTAATGTGTTTCAACCAATGTTTAGGAATGTTTCGCCAACAAATTTTCGAAGTTTGTCTACGTTCCTATTTTGTTTTCAAAATATTTTTGAAACCTATCCTTTTCCTAGGTGACTGAAACCTATCAAGGCACTCATCGCCATTCCACTACTCTAATTTTGTGTTTTCTCATAATCTCTGACCATCTTCTTTGGCATTTTTGTTTCTCGATCCTTGAAGTTAGCATGATGCTACTAGTAGTTCAAAATGGAAGGAAGCAATGATTGAAGAAAAGCTCTTCAGAAAATAATAATGGGGAATTAGCCAAATGACCTGATGGAGAAAAACAGTTGGATGCAAATTAGGTGTTCAATAAGTAGGGAAAGGCAGATTACTCATTAGAAAGATATAGGTCATATCCGCCATCTTTTTTAATTTTTTGCGCTTTTTTGAAAGTTCCCCGATCAGTGCTAAAACACAATAAACCAAACCAAGCCTTATGTTTCAATCATTTGGGGTCGATTATATAAGTCCTATAGCTAGCAAAATTAAAGCTATCACTATTGCTGTCACTCGAATATCAGAGAAAGAGAAGCAAAACAGTAATAGTTAATTAAGGTTCACAAAAACTAGTGAATATGACATCGAGACATGCACAATGTCTAATTTGCTGAAATAAACTATTTTAAGTACAGGGGAATGCATATTAGGATTAGATACAGAGATGGAAAATGGAATCCGTCAGCACTATGTATAAATATTGCTATTACATGAAGCACATAGCAATTTTATACTGTTACCTGGATCTGGGGTTTTTTCGCAATTACGGCCATAGTTGGACTGCAGGGAATTGCCCACAGGGTTTTGGGAATTTGTCTCCATTGTCAGCATCTTAAGAGATATTTTTCTCAGATAATCCGACTACAATAAAAATTATACGCCATTTATATCTCACGACAAATTCACGAATAAGGAAGCCAACCATGTTTCAATAGTGAAATTAAAGGCAAAGACCACCAATGATCAAAGTACAAGTGTAAATGTAAACCTGGCTTGTGGCAGCAGTATAAATCTTTTCCTCAAACCTTACTGACATTTTCTTAAGTTCTTGTAGTCCCTCTTGTCCAGAGAAGGGATGATGCCTCTGCAGGGTCTCCAATCTAGATGTGAAACAATACATTTCAATTGATAATTGACTACACAGCAGAGATTTATAGTGAGCATATAAGCGCGTTAAATAACAATGTACCAAACAAATTACTTCAAAATCAAGGTCACAAAGGATACACGATAAAGAATAAATAAAACCAAAAACAAAATGCAGTAAATATGATGAGTTGGCCTCTAAGAAAGTAAAAAAAGAAAAGCTCATAAGACGTGTCATTGAACAAAAGAGAAACCACAACCTCCATGGTCAAACAGAATGTCCATATCAAGATTCCAAATTCCCTCCAGGTATCCACTGCACAATATAGAATCGGCACCATTTTTTGCAATGAGAACAATATCCAATATTTTTCTTACCCTATAAAAAAGCAGTCTGGTGTTGTGAGACCACCATTGAATAACCAATTTAATCCATTGGCCAAAACTTCAGAAGTACCCTTCTAAGTGCTCAAAGAAGGCTTATTGGCCTACATCCACTATTGTAAATATCCCCTCTTTTTCACAAAAATCAAGGAACAATAGTCAGAATCAGAACTCAATACTAGAGGAAGTGGATTGGATTTTCATGGGGCTGTAATTGAGTATTTTGAGACTCTACTTGTGGTTGCTGCATTGAATGCATATGAGCTGGGGGGAGTTGTTGCCCTTGCTGCAATGAAGAAACAGGCCTACGGGGCCTGTTTGAATTCAGAAAACTAGTTATCTGCTTCTCATAGGATCCCAACTTGTCCCTTACAGCAAGTGTAATACTGCTCTTTGAAGCTGTTAAAAAAGCTATAAGGCGCTCTAACATAGCCTTAAATTTCTTGAGCTTCTCAAATTGATCATTATTTGGATGCTGAGGAAGAGAATCATGCTGGACAACAATCAGAAATAAAAGTGTCATGGAATCAAAATTGGGAAAGTACATCTGCATAATAGGAAGACAATACAAAATATCATCTAACTTGTACAGGAACTTAATGTTGCTTTTTTTTTTTTTTTTGGTTGGATATTGGATGGGGATGGGTTGTTTGGCAATGTGTTCAATGGAAGCTTCGGGTTGCTTCCCACATGCATCTGTCCACTTGGCAGCCTGGTTTGTCAAGAAAGCAGACAAAAAAGTTTGAAATGACACTGTTCATTTTTCTCTGCAGGTAGAAGTCATTGTTCACATGGAGTCCTAAGAGAACCCATAGACTAACCTCAACAACAAACTAAAGATTACCCACCACCGTAACTGGGATGGTAAAGGCTGTTTAGAACGCTACAAAATTCACACAAAGTCTAGCGACTTACCTGCTGCAATTTAACAGCAATTTTCTGGTACATTTCACCTAGTTCTGGAAAATACCTCTCCTTCATGGCCTTAATCTGCAAATAGAAGCTTCATAATTTCAGGTTCAATGTTCTACAGAAGGGTAGTGATACATATACCCAATTGAAAATCATTGCAAATGAAAAAAAAGAATCATTTCCACCCTTGCTTGTTCATTTACATCAGTGCAACCTACTTTAATTGCCAACTTTTAAAATATACACAAAAGAAAAGGAACAAACATAACATAGAAGAAAACAGAGAGAGAAAGAACAAACAAAAATTTCAAAGACACAAGCAGTGAGCCAAAAATCATGCATGAAATCATCTCACTTGAGTTTTTACCAATTTATTCATATATGACTACAGAGACGGAACTGTCGTCTTAGGTATTTATAAGACACGTTAGCAATCCACAAGAAATATGAAGGTAGAAATATAGCAGGCATGGATTGACAAAAGTTACCATATATGCTATTCTCTTTACCTACCTCCCATTGAGAAACGCAGAATACAGAAAAAGATTCTCATACATACAAGCTCAAAGCCATACATCATATTTGAATTCATCTCAGATTGTATGCAGGGACCAAAAGTTTGTTCCAGTTCCACCAAATTAACCGAATCAAATCGGTTATGGAGGAAACAAACAAAATCAGTAATGGAAAATCAAAATTCTCATTTTTAGGAATATATATGAATGTTTCGGCTAATGTTTCGAAATCACAATTTAAATTTTTTTTCTCTCTATCTTCTAAACATCTCCAAAACATTTTTACTTCCAAGATAACTGATATGAAATATCGATCTTGATCGTATCAGTCTACAAATGCTAAAAAGGGAAAATTTGAGAGCAATTGCACATCTCAAGTCTTTTGATCATATGTTATGAGTGATTAGAATGAAACCATCCCCTCTAAAAGGTTAAGTTGTTAGAAAAAGTATAGCAATGCCCTGCACCTGCAAGCACGAGTGACAAGAAGATTGGAATGCAGCAGCTCCTGCTCTGATACCATGTTAAACCACCATCTATTCTAAAATTTTGAATTGTTAAGAGAGAGTAAAACATAAATATGCATATATTTCAATACTACTAATGCAACTCAACAATTCTAAAAAAATAGCCTCTCTACATGTGGTGTAAGGCTGCCCACATCTGACCTACCCAACTACCGCAAGCAAGCGCCTCATGCACTAGGTTATCTTTTTCACTAATAAAACTCAACAGTAAGCATCAAAAAATTTGAAGGAAACAAATATATTGTAAGGTTTGGTAATAGCATTCCAAAGTATCCTCTCTCCCAACTCCTCTCTTAAGCCAGTGCCAACATAACCTCACCTTAACAGATAAAAGCGATGATGGACATGTCGGCTGTCCATTCATCGTAACAGCTAAGTTCCTTTTCTTCCTCATTTATCTGAGCCTAGAAGAGAAAAGTGCAGATTACTAAGTATAATTCTATAACTGCTGGACAATGTTCTTTTACAAAATCTTATGTGTAACAATATTCTTGTTGTTACCGCTAAAGTATTAAGATAAAGACACATTGTCCATCATTATTCAACCACGAAACAAAGAACAAAACCAATTAATAACTCCACAAAGACTTGTTATAGCTTTTGAACTGGTTACATGAATCTTGTTACGCATTGTGTTCTGCCCCAGTGTCTTATTTTTTAATAAACCACGAGCTACCATATCATTCTGCAATCTCTTAGCCATTGTTATTTTTTGTCGGACTTTATCACTTCATTCTCACTCGCTACTATATTTATAGGTTTTCTTTAAACATGCCAATTTGCCTCAGTCATTTCTCTCTCAATTTATCTCTTATTCACACAACTTTTACCATTTCACAAGTCAGTCATTCCTAACTCAATCCTTCCTTGTTATACCATACGCATTTGTTATTATCGGCATTTCAGCAACACTTTTTGCTCAACATGCTCTACCATAAGAGTGGATGGTCTTGTATCTATTTTGTAGAATTTATGTTTTAGCTAATATTCTACTAATGAGTAGATGATCCTGATTAGCATTTTCACAAGTTCCACATAGTCAACAGAAGTAGTGGGAACTTGATGAAACATTGCAATGTTTTCCTCTAAGAATTAATGCATAATTTTTATCATTTGAATGCCGAATTTGAGTACTCAGTTCAAACCCTATGATGCCATTCTTTGACGTGTTGGGCTTCTGGTTAACTTCTTTTATATCTTTCACCATCTCTGAAGCACCTAGCAACTTTTAAGTCATTATAGTAACCATAATTAGTCAAAAGCTAATTCCCAATCTAAAACTCCACTTATTTTCCAACACTAATGGACCCTAATCCTCTGTATTCCTTTCAAAAATCATAAAAAAACTACTACCAAATAACACATCATATTGTACCTTTTGATAAACCTCCTCCTGCCAATCTGCGGCACTTGCATTTTCTGTCTGAACTGTGGAATCTAAAGAAGCTACACAAAAAAAAATAAGCACAATATATGCACCATCTAATTGAGAACCCATCCATGATGGAACGTAAACATAAAAATAAACTAGGAACTAGCGTAACTCAATCATTTTCTAGAAAGGAGAACAATTTTACATCCACAAAACTATGCAGTGGCAGGGTCAGGAAATTTTCGTGTGAACCAAAGTTGCTGACTTGCAGGGCATCGTGTTGTAATCTCTCCCCCCCCCCCCCCCCCCCCCCC